TATATATATATAAAGCTATTGATCCCCTTTAAATTTAAGGATATGCTAAGTCACTGTAATGATAAATTCACAACTTTGCACCAACCCGCATGCTGAGTGCTTTTATACAGGTTATGGTACTTTGTAGAGGTGCAATGTTTATTAAATAACCACAATTTGAATTGTTCAATGTGATAAAATCTTTAAATGGACATACCATATTAGTCTGCAGTTCAGTGTTGTTAATATAGATGCTACTCTACCTTCATACAAAGGCCTTTTGGGTTTTGGACAGCAAAAAAAACTTTTTTACACTTCAGGGGAAATCTCAGGGACCACAACTGATATTTGCTGTTAGAGCTAATCAAATCTTCTTGCGGATAGCTCATTTTCTGTTATGTTCCATTTGACTGAACATGTTCCATATAACCCATTGGGCTATAGATGTACTGAGCCTGCATCTTTTAGATTGTAAGCCCTCACAGGCAGGGCCCTCCTTACCATCTTGTCTTGAATTGTATTGTGACTGTAATGTCTTCCTTATATTGTAAAGCGCTGTGCAAACTATTGGGGCTATATAAATCCTGTATAATAATAATAATAATATCAGGAATTATCATATCTGAGGCTGATAGGTTATCTGAAGCAAGGACATTTAAGTGCATTGATGCAATGGGTATATATATATCAGTTTTATTATAAATTAAGTATTAAATACAGACCTATGATCTCCACCCTTTCTTCATTTCTACCAGTTACATTGCAATATTTCTAGAAGTCACATGTAATAAATATGTGTCCTATATTTAATGGATCAGCCTGGCTAGGAAGGGTGAATGCCACACCTTATAGGCCTTGTTGGGATTTATATATGACTGGTAATCATCATAAGTATTCTCACTTCATGGTGGTCAAGTGAATTTTCTATTAAATAAGATGTTCATACAAAATAAATGTCCAAAATTAAAGGACAGGAAGTGATCCTTGACAATGCATTTCTAGAATGAAAATGCCACCATGAACCTATATCCTTGTTGATGGGGAACTCCTTGATCCTATTAGCATTTTGATGAGACAGACTAGTGATTGAAAAAAGAAGGATAGGAGGTGTGTGTGAATGAAAGCAGTCAGGGGGGTACAAGTAACTTCCTTTGTCCTAAACTGATTTGGCTCTGCAGGTAGCCAGTGAAGAGGTCACAGTTTGATTGAGGAAAAGGGGTGGAGACTTTAAGGAGGACAGGTCTATTTGAATGCTCTGTGGGCTTTGCCTTTAAATGTCTCCAGACCCTGTTTCACTTGGACAAACCTCTGGATTCTACACTAGAGCAATCATCTGTGCCACAGAAACAGTGGATTGGTGGCCATCTAAATTCTCTTTGGGGTAAGGGAGACACATCAAAAGTCAACATTTAGACTATGCTTGGTAGAGTCAAGCTGGAAATGAAAGACCCAATGGACTGGCATTCAATGTACACAGAAAGTGAGGTAAGTTATGTCTATGTTTTCAACCTATAACTAAACTAGTATAATGTATTGAACTGTAGTAAAGTCCAGCCAATAGCTTGAATTCGCAATAACATATCTGATACACGTACATAGAAAAATGTTTGCATATAAATTACCCATGGGTACATCATTTTGCTGATACTACTGTGTTTTCTTTTTAAGGATTTCATTAGTACTAAAAACTCTTCCTTTTTGCAGTATTTAAAGACCACATTAGAGAAACTCCATATTACATCCGTATTCCTGCTTTTAATGTGCACATATACAGGCTGATTTTTGGAAGAAAAGAAAACAGTTGCTTAGATTTGTTTTTTACTAATAGTTGGTCTGTGCGGAAGACACCATACTCTTGAAGACCAAAGTGAGAGATTCATATTAGGACTTTATCATTGCTTTCATGTTGCTACATAGCCCTGGAACAACCACTTTAGTTCTCACACACTTTTTATCACTGTAATGAAACACACATATATATATATATATACATATATA